GATGAGGTATTATGTACATTATTTACATTATTCGGACAATTGTCCTCATCTTTGTCGCCATATTTATTACAACGTTTCGGCCATTGTACGCTCCGGCTTTCTTGAGTGGTTGGAATGTCGAACTGAACCATTTATTTCGCTGGGGTAGACTGTTCTAGTTCCACGTGCCATGTTCTGTCAGTTATCAGTTATCTCCTGTTAATTTTATAATTTATACCTAGCCCCAGCTGAATGTATCCTCTTTAACATTATGCCATATACAATTCACTATTTTAAATTGAGATATGCTATATGTATTGATTTTACTTATGTTTTTATTAATTCCAAAAATAATCCAATAAAATTTGTAGTTAGCCCCGGGTGTATAAATCTTCTGCAACTTTATACTATATGTATAATTCAATATTATAAATTTAAAAATGCTAAAGTTTTCGTTTTATGGAGGATGTTAGAATAAACAGGCTTCCACTTGTATAGATAAGTCTGCCATCTTGTTGAACATTACTGCTTGGAGACATTAGCGCGCTTAGCTAAGCAAATAGCCGAATGTGAACAGTCTTGATTAAAAAAAAGAAACGTATCACAGATGCAACTATTTCATTTTACGAACCACAAGCTTCTGTCACTGACCGGAATTTATTTGATATAAAAGTGTAAGCACCCCTTTATTTAATTCGCGCTTCTGTTTTTTTGTTTAGGATTGGGATGTGCAGAACACGGCTATATATAAGTGACATTTGTGCCATGGAAGACAGGTCGATTAAGAGGTCAGCAACTGAGACAAAAGGAAAATACAGATGTCAATGGCACAGGAAAGAAACATAAAGGTTTTATACGATGGTCGGTCGCCTTAGCGTCTGTCGATCAGCAGGACAAAAAAGAATAGCTAATATATATATATATATATATATATATATATATATATATATATATATATATATATAAAGACGTATGTCTCATTAAAGTTTTGACTGCTTAATTTTAATAGGTCCTCCTGTAATTACCGACAAATTTCTTGGCAGTTTTATTAAAAGAAGAATGAAAATTACCATGTTGCAGGCATAAATTTCCCTATTTAATGAGACGTGTCTTAATGAAAACATGTTACTGAAACATAGGCAATATATATATATATATATATATATATATATATATATATATATATATATATATATATTCCCATAAGTGCTGATATCTTTGGGAAAGTCTGAATTCGTCATTTATCTCCACAGCTATGGGTAAAATAGCACCATATATTGTATATCCTTCGGTGACAATCAAACTAGGATATATAACATCTGAATTAAAAAAAAAACTTGCTGCTTTGTAGTTTCTGCTATTATTATTTCCAGAAGAATGTGATATACAAAACAAATCCATCTATGAGAGGAAAGGCGGGGCAACGTCAACATCTCAGGTACAAAAAGTATTAGCATTATTTTGCCTTGAATGACACCATGAACCACAGATGTGAGATAGAGTGATTAGTGACTATATATATATATATATATATATATATATATATATATATATATATATATATATATATAAATTAATAATAATAATAATAAGAAGAAGAAGAATAAAATGGCTTAAACACTAATATTCCATGGCCGTAATTTATTCCATTGGAATCGTAAATACGATCCAATTCATCAGACCTACAAATTCAAAAAGAAAACAGAAAACACAACTCCGGAAATAAAAAATAGAATTTAGAGAGAGTGTAAATATGAGGGTGTGGGACGAATGTTAGAGCTAAAGAGAGGGATAACAGACGGAGAGAAGGTAGGGGATTAAAATTTAACAGAGAGAAGTTTTAGAGAGGTGTGTCAAAGACGGTTTATGGGAGTTTTTCTGTTTTCTTTCTGAATTTGGAGGTCTGATGAATTGGATCGTATTTACGTTTCCAATGGAATAAATTATAAACATAGAATATTAGTGTTTAAGCCTTTTTATTATATCCTTACTCTGTTCTGGACATTGAGTTCTACCTGGATTCTATCCTCTTGGAATTTTTTTATTCCAAAAAATATATATGTATGTGTATGCATTTATGTATATATATATTTATATATTTTGCATATGCATGTGTATATTTACGACTAATATTATATATCTATCTATCTATCTATCTATCTATCTATATATATATATATATATATATATATATATATATATATATATATATATATATATATGTAATGAGAGAAAAAGTGCTCAGTACAAAGAAGAGCAATATATTATTATTATATTTTATTATACGAGAATAAAATAAAATTATTTTGAAATCGCTACACAAGGCTTGCATGTTTCAATACTATGTTAATATTTCTTCAGGCGATGTTAACTAACAATCATAGTTACGAAGTATGAAAACCTTTCTGTAACTTTTTAAAAGTCTTTTAATACCACCTCTTATAAGCCGGAATCGAAACCCGACCGATTTGATATCAGTCAAATACACCACTAGACGCAGAATACAGTGAAAGACATTTTTTAACACATGGTTTACGAGATATATGCATTACCGGCTACCACGGAATTCAATTCCTAGCGAAGTGGTGTGCGTAAGTTGATTAAAATGTAACTTCCCACATTAAAATGATTATGATATATTTATTACTTATAATTCTTAAAAGAAATGGATATGAAAGGAAAGCGTGTAGCATGAGGTTTCATTTTAATTTTATATGGACATCAGATTTCGCTACCAGCTTCTAAAGCTCCCTAGAAATCGCGTCAACTGATTTCAGCAGGAACTTGTGTAGTATGGAAGACAACTTCTGGGATTCGCCCTACAAGTTCTTCAAAAATGTTGTTTTGGTATAGAAGACCTGCTCCTTTAAGCAACTCCGAAGGAAAATGTCACAGGCTATTCATTCAGGACTCCTCGCTGGCCACTCATTCATAAATAGGGATTTATATTCTATCACCTCTCTCTCGATATATATATATATATATATATATATATATATATATATATATATATATATATATATGTATGTATATATATATATATATATATATATATATATAGCTCGACAATTAATTGAACTTGATATTTATATAGACACAAATATGTAAAAGTAAAGGCTCAATTATAATAAACAGTATTAATAACATTTACCGGCCTGAATATCCGGGAAATTTCATAGAATATATGTATCCCCTCCAGGAATCGAACCTGCACCCTACACGGAACCGTGTTATAGCCGGACGTGTTTAACATTTTCGCTACGCATGTCGGGTCTGGTTAGATATATTTAATATATATATATATATATAAATAACGTATCACAAATATATATATATATATATAGATATATATATATATATATATATATATATATATATATATATATATATATATATATATATATATAAAATATAAAAGCGGTTCAATCAACATCAAACTTGATTTAGGATAAATAAGTACAGAAATCAGACATCGTTTTCAAAGTATTTCTGCCACTTAAAAACTTCAATAAACACCTACAGTAAAATGGAAGTTAATAAGAAAAGCTAGAATATGTAGGTCATTAACTGGCCCATGTCCTTTGTGCATACATGAGAAAATATATATTACTAAGTTTATAAAAAAATAAAAAATTATTGAATCAGAGAAATGAAATAGCTTTTATTGCCGTCATTGTCAAAAATTTTCCTTAAATAATATTTAAAAAGAAAATTAAAAAATGGGAGCTGGTAATGTGCATACTTATATTTGATATGAAAAAATAAATTTAAATAAGGTAAGTAATTCTATTACATTTACTTGTTTTTAAAAGAAATATAGTCTATTAATAATTAAGAGTAAAAATATTTTAAAATTTTAGTTAAATAAAACGTATTATAACCATTTAAAGACACCTAGATGAATCTTTAAGTATACAAATAAGAAAAAATGCCGAAAAACTTTTTTGCCGTTAATAATAATAAAAAAAATGCATTTAACGGATGTCAGAATTCGTTGAAAAATACACCCCTACCCTCCCTAAACTTAACCTGTTTTTCGAGCGTAACTCATAATTGATACAACAATAGTTAATAAAAATGAACATGCTACCGCCCCTGTTTGAATGATTCAATTTCTCTGTATCCTTGGAGACTGTAAATGATGAATTTATATGTGCGTTTAAAACTCAGTAAATTTAAAAATAATTTATTCCAATACTCGCTTGAAGATGAAACAGAACTAATGCATTTAATTTAATTATATAATTAAATTTAAAGTTTTTAGCTTCCATTTTTGAAACATGGTTATTATTGTGTAGCGAGAAAAACATTCTAGATCAGTTAATTTATAATATTTATGCTCTGCAAATGTACATTGAGCACTGTTTTGTCAAAATAAAAATAAAAAATATCAATAAGAACACCGGATTATATATCTTACTTTTCTTTTATTTTATTTACACGCACAAGCACGCACACGCACGCACACACACACACACACACACACACACACACATATATATATATATATATATATATATATATATATATATATATATAGAGAGAGAGAGAGAGATAGATATATATATATAGATATATATATATTTCTCATGCAAAAAAATCAGGCTTCAGTTGCTGTAATGAGATTGGTCACCATCCCCTTCCGGCGAATAAAAATGCTTACATATATATATATATATATATATATATATATATATATATATATATATATATATATATATATATATATGTGTTTTGTGTGTGTGTGTGTGTGTGTGTGTGTGTGTGTGTGTGTGTGTGTGTGTGTTAAAATTATGCGGACATAAATGAGGTAAAGAACTAAAGGAAAATACTGTGCATCAGCAATCGAAGCTCTCGAAGAAAAAAAATGTAATAAAGGCCAAATCACGGATGGCAGTGGACAGAATTGTGAAAAGGAAGAAAGTGTGCTCCCTATGAGGGTGTAAGGGTTAATGCGGTTGGGCTATGGCCTATTGTGAGTAGGGGTGAACCGGGGTCTTGAATTTGGGACAGTTGGATCAATGGTGACGTTGAATTTAATGAACTTCATTAACAACGCAAATGACGTGTCCCTGCTTGCATTAGAGCACACAGGCGTGTCACCCGGGTTTTCATCAATCATCACTAGCGCTCGTATCAAAAACCCCACACATTTTCAGAGACGACCCCAAACCTCAGTGTCATCAGAGAGAGGGAACAGACCGAGAAGTCACCGGTATTCCTCCGACAGACACATCCCAAAACCTATCGTTAACGTCACCCTCCCCTTGCACCCAGAAACGCCTGCTCTGCATGTTTTCTTGCCGGTACCACCCAACCTTCATCAAATGGGACTAACATTGGAGTTAGTGAGTGCGGAGTCACAGATTTGGATTCCGGGAGGAGAAGACCGATGCCAGTCTGGTTTGGCAATGTCTGTCTGTGTTTGTGGTGTAAGTGTTGCCAAGAGAGGGGAGGTGAAAAACAAGGAAAAGAGGGAAGTGGTGCATTTTTGGTTCATTTCACCCTGTCTTCAATTGCACTTCCGTCCACATCGACATCATTTTCAAATTCATATCTTTTATATGTCCACACCATCTCTATCGTCATCTTGACGAGCAGTAAAGAAGAAAAAATAAATAAAAGTAAGCAGAAAATCATGAATAAAAATAGTTCTCGTGACAAATGGAAAATTGAAATTTTACCCGTTAATAACTCTTCCAATAAACGATTAAACATTTCTGTTTCAATCTCTCAGTATCTATCTATCTATCTATCTATCTATCTATTATATATAAATATATAGAAACATAGGAAAGAACACGGTAGGTAAATAATCCGAAATTATTTAGTATTTTTGTTTTATTAAAAAAAAAAAAAAACAGTGCTCAATACAAAAGTACAGACTAAATTAGAATTAATTTTAAAATATGTACCGAAGGATTCATATTTCTAAAAATTATTATTATTATATATATATATATATATATATATATATAGTGATTGTCTTATGGCATGTTATATATAAGAGGTGAAAGTACTGAGTAACTGAAATAGATCATATGCAAATATATATTCTTTTTGTTTGATAGATAATTCTCCATTGCCGATTGGATTCCAAATTGTTGGTGACAATGACTCTCCACTACTTCCTGTCTTTTATAACTCTCAGCAACCTTTTACTACTTACTATTAGTTCTTGGATATATATCTTTCATAAAATCTTTAATAAAAAATAAATACTTTAAATTATTACAATATTATTTATTATTAAACAATTCCCTTTTTAGCCCCCCCCTTCAAATTGTTAAGCCCCTATTTAGGGATGTGTCGCAATTGTATTTGTTACTAATATTGTTAAATGTTGTTATTAATATTGATTTTCGTGTGGAATGACTTTAAACTTAAACTGCTCCATTTGAACGGCAAAATTTCCAATAATGTAAGACCCGGTGAAAAACGGGCTATGCTGCCAATATAGATAGATAGATAGATAGATAGATAGGTAGATAGATAGATATCCCTCTCTTTTCGCAATATAAATGGTGCGATGGATAAATTGTCGTCTCAATTCCGCAAAAACTGAATTAAACGCTGACATTTCATTTTAATAAATATATTTACCAAAATTTCTCAAAAACGTCTCGAAATACTAAAGAGTACGCTTATTCAATAAAATCGTCATTGGCTTCAACCACACCCTCCAGACGACTTCGGAATTTCCTGCATCTCTTCTGGGTGGCCTCTTTCTTTAAGTTGGCGAATGCTGCCCTAATCATTACCTGCAGTTCATCTTTGTTATTACAAATAGTTTTATTCGCCACTCGCTCAAATGCGCTCCACACATAATAATCAAGGTCTGTAGTTTGGGGAGTTAGGTGGCCAGATGTAAAGAGCGATATGGTCGCAGAAATTGTCTGACAACCAGGTTTCTTCTGCTTTTGGGGCATGGTGCAGCATCCTGTTGCCAAACACAGGGACTTCAGCAGCCGCCCGCGTGTCCCTGTGCAGCACTACCTCCTCAAGGAACTTGATGTAAGACTTTGTGTTGAATCTGAGGCACTCACCAACAAATTCAGGTGTTTTGTTCATATCAAAACAATCAGAGTGAGTTTTCCCGTCGGCCGTACATTCGTAATCACCATTAGACTCATCCAACACTTTCCAAATACTCTTCAGCTTCCGACCTGAATGCTAATCAGTAAAGCATGCCACATCCAAATTTCTGGCGGAGTGAATTGCTTCATGATGCTCTTTTTATCATAGACGGTTCCCAAATAACACTACTATACTCTCCTGTCGACAAATCAAACCAAACAATGCGCATGCGTGAAATTTAAAATATAAAATGGTGGCAATTTTCCTATCGCATCCTGTACACTGTAGTGACCATTTAATTACAGAACTCTTTACCCTTTTAAAACATCTAATGATTCCGCGACAGCTAACTAAACAGCGCGTTCACCTTGAAACTTTAAATGACGGAAAAACAGCGAAATTTATGTATCGCTTTTTATATAGTACACGTTGTATATATAGAAAGAAATTGGAGCTTATCATTTTATGATATGGATAATACGGATGGTTATTTACGGTCATAATGTCTAGGTTACTTATTTATGGTTCTTAGGTGTTTGGTGTATGTGCAAATACCTTTTTATTTATAGTCAGGACCAATAAATTAATCATTTATATTTTTATATATTATTTTTGCTTTGTATTCTCTCACTGTCTACGGAGATAAAATCTGTTTCTCCATTACTGGGCACCCTTTCCGTATAAATATTGTAAATTGTGTTTATATATATGCACACACACACACATACAAACACACACACACACACATATATATATATATATATATATATATATATATATATATATATATATATATATATATAAAGAAAGAACAGTAAGATAAATAATACGCTGTTCTTATAGATATTTTTATTTTTACAAAATAGTGCTCAATGTAAATTTTTGAATCTTGGTTAGAACTGTGTTGCGAAAAAATATATTTTGAATAAATCAATTTATAATATATATATATATATATATATATATATATATATATATATATATGTGTGTGTGTGTGTGTTGTGTGTGTTGTGTGTGTGTGTGTAATTTGCTTGTAATTGCATGGTTGTCAGTGCGTATATTCTGCCTGCAAATATGTAGGAATTACTTTACCGTGATATATTTTTCCTCAAATGACATCTATTTACACATGCCAAGGAATTCATCGAAAAATATATAATTTAATTAAAAAAAAATTAAATACAAAATTTATACATATCAATTTTTGTAAATAATTCCTTCAAATCTGCAAAGATTCCCAGACGTCAATGATCGTTTAGGTTAAAGGCTAACATTTGCCTTGAACTAGGAATTGCAAACATTAGCGCAATTTATTATTTTAATGACTTTAACTACGTGGGTTTTAGTTATATTATTCCCATTAAGCCAATCATTAGATGCCCTGCCCTGGCAATCAAAGACTTCTCACTATCCTCTGAAAACAATTAGAGACATTTCTAACTCACATAATCGATATTGCCATCATCATGAACAAGAAAAATGGACGAAAAACAAATACAATTTAAGATAAACTTGTTTTAATGCAACAAGCCAAACACTGTAATTTCTCACGAATATTTTCGAGAAGCCACTAAACTTAAAACCTGTTTCATATCATTAATCATTTCGAATTATTAGGTGTCATTAATTTTATTCTTTTTTTTTTTGCTTTAGCAATTTCTTTTTATTTCTACAATTTACATTATTTTTTTATTTGAGAAATAGTTTTATCACTTTTTTTTAAAAAAAATATTTGTTTCCATTTTATTTCAGGCTGAATTTATTCAACTGATTGCATGTTCATCAATAAACTTGATGTTAGTTTGATTAGCAGGGCACGTTTATAATGGATGGCACGATATATCTGGTTAAAATTAAATGTTAACAACGTATGGCTGGCCGATCGTCACCGAATATACATGTCTGTTAGGTTGGTTAGCTCAGACCCATCTCTGCTTGTATAATACCCACAGAACTAAACTACGTTTTGAACTGCAATTATGAAAACGGGATTCTCTTTTTACATTTTCTGAGAGAAAACGTATAATCTAGCGCGATCATCAATTTCAACAGGGTCGGTACACGATCAATCATGATTTCGTGATAGATAGCCCTCGAACTAGTACAGCCATCGTAACCAAAGTCATTTACAAGGATTAAGTCAAACCTAATTAGGGGTTTCAAGAGTTTTACAACGGTTCTGAACGCTAGAATTCCAGGTCACTTCATTGAAAAATAGATCGGTCCTTTCGAACAAGAAACCAGCGAAATCGAACCGTGTTCTTATGGTTAAAATGCTAACATTCTAACCATTTAGCTATGCGTCAACTATTCTAACATTAATCTTATCAATAACACTACCAGAAAGTATATAAACAGTTATATGCACGTATATATGTACCCTACTTTATAATGGTGAATTCGAAAGTCTTGTTGCCATACATGTTTAGCAATATTTGGTTATACAACCTCCAGACCCACCAGCTGATTATAATACATGGCGACTTTTAAGATTTTTTTTATTTGGTTTAAAACTTAGCAAACCTTTGTGAATTATTTAAGCCGAAGATATGTTTTGGATTGTAAGAATAACTGTAATTTTATGAATTAATACTGTGTTAAAAATCTTTGGGAGATAATAATTTTTTCAGAGAAAAATCCTACATTTTTTAATTAAAAACTATTTGCACGTAAGTGAATGTAACGATTTCAACAGAAAATCGAACCCGTCTCTCTAATTTCTCCTTTCTGTCCGCCTTCCATTAACCACCTGCACATCCCTGTCTTGTATAAATCACCTTTTAACCTTACATTGCTTTTAGATTTTAATATTTCAGTTTCTTTCGATATCTGTAATTTATTTCCTCCTGATTCATATCCACATATCAACATTTTCTGCTTAGTCTCACGCTGTTTTCACATACCTTTATCTCCTTTGTTAACAATTATTCACCCAGTACAAAACTTAGGAGGTACTAAATTAGATAGGTAAAGCCGGAAATTGTTTTAAGGGCGTCCTATCAGGAAGTAAGATGTGTATATAATGAGGGTATGTAGGATTGTAAACAGTTGGCCTTCAACATTAAGTGGCTAAGATGATGTGCGAAACATTCTCCCCAGAATCAGTCCTACAGCGTAGTAGTTTTGGGGAAAAACATTGTCTGAATAGAACTTCCTCCTTACTAATGGAATACGAAATGAATGACGATTAGATAACTTCGGATTGGTGGAAATAGTGAATGAAACTCTTCTTAATATTTGCCATGAAAATAGTGACACAATAAAGAGAAGGTAACAGGCCTTCATCTATGGGAAAAGAGTTTTCAAGTGCAATGTCAATTCAAAACCTGAAAAGTTGTGTAAATGCTGTCAAAGATGGAAACTAAGGATTGGGCAGCTTCAAATAAGATATGGTAGTAATAAAAAATTTTTTGGTACCTGTCTATATTTCTGAGATGAGGTATTATGCACACTATTTACATTCTTCGGAGTATTGTCCTCATCTTTGCGCCATAATTATTACAAAGATTCGGTCGGTGTACGCTCCGGACTTCTTTAGGTGGTTGGAATGTCGAACTGACCCCTTTATTTCGCTCACTGGGGTAGACTATTCTAGTTCCCCCTGCCATGTTTTTAATGGATGTCAGTTATCAGTTATCTCATGTTAATTCCCCTCTTCAAGTTCTCCACTGCTTTAATCGGGTATTGAACACACACAATGACACATGACACAGAGGATAAAGGCGTTGGTTATATCCAGTGACAGGACCCCAAAACGGAAGCGTTGTAATAAATATGGCAACAAAGATGAGGACAATAGTTTGAATAATGTAAACAAAAAACCATATTTCTTTCGATCTGGATAGAGCATAACCGTAGGAGGTGTCAGGTAATTTCTTGCGACCTTGCATAGAATACTGCTGTCATATATGGTCTGGAACCCCCGCTGTTCGTCTCAAGGTCTTCGATAAATTCCAGAGACGGATATGCAATGTGATTGATCCTGATCAGTCATCTCGTCTACAGTCACACTCTCACAGACGTACCGTCGCTTCCCGCCATATTTTCTACAGATACTTCCACGGTAACTGCTCTGACAAGCTACTTTCGCTAGTTCCCAAACTGGATGAATGTAGGCGTGCTACGAGACTGGCATCTCAATCCAACTCTTTCACTGTCGAAACGTTTAACTGTAGCAGTCTCTTTACTCTAATAGCTTCATGTCGCCTACTTCCCATCTGTGTAACTCCCTTCCTCTTACTTGCTTCCCTGATAGCTATAATCTCCAACTATTCAAATGCAATGTCAGTCGACATCTCCAGATGCCTTGATATAATTCCCCGTCCTTCTCTTTATCCTTTCCGCTATTAAGCCTTTTACTCATGCACCCACTCTCTGTAACCCCTTGAGTATTAGTAACACTCCCTCCTTGCGTGGGAGAAATGCTTGA